ATCTTATCAGGATGCATGCGTATAGAGAGATGCTTGCAGCACTAGACATGTCCCGTGTCCTCTCAGTAAGATTAAGTATGCAGCTGATATAAGGCTCCCTCTTGGTTCCCCTTGATCTATCTCCCCAAGCCAGTGAAATCAGATCAAAGGCTGGCTATCCAAAAGCTCATGTATACTCCCTTCCCAACTGTGTCTATCCACAGAAACAAAGCAGACAAACCCCAGATATATCCAGATTACCTGGTCCCACCAGCCAACCAGCCATGGTTTTGCACAGGTCTCACAGAAAAAATCCACTAAGGGCATCTTCTGTTCTTGGCCAGTGAGCAGCAAGCACTCTCTGGGTTGCCCACCAAGGTGGTATTTCTCCTCTCTGGACGAGTGGCTGATTGGTGGTGTCCCCTTTCCTTGGTGTTGGCAGGAGAAGCAGGGGTTAATTCCTCAAAGCTGTTCTTTCCACATGCAGGTTTGGGCCTTGCATGGCTCTTGCTGGCCAACCTGCCTTGCACGGGAATTCTCACATCTCTGTTGCGCCTCCTCTGGTCCTCCCCACCAGGGGGCCGTGGCTGAAGAAGATATGCCAGATAGGCCCACACCTGAAAGCCTCAGGTCTCTGGCTATGTTGCCGACAAGGAGGCGAATACCCAGAGTGCAAAGCTATCAGCAAGCACAATCCTCCTCAACTGTCTGGACAATGTGCCTCCCTCGCCTTCTCCTCCGGTCACATCTTCAGAAGAAACAATCCAGCGGCAGTTCAGAAAGACAGAAGGAAAAATAAAGACGGCAGCAGGCAGTCACTGCATGGAAGAACGGTTTCACCCAGGTGGAGGAAGAGGGAGATTCCCAGCCATTTCTGGGTACCACATGGCATGCATCCAGCTAGCAAGGCAGGCGCTGCATTGCTAAAAGGCACGTCCCCATCATCTCTTTGGTGTGCGTTTGAGGGCAGCGGTCACCACGGAGACGGTAACTCCTAGTATGGCCTCAGCTGCAGCTTTGTTCCCTGGCTTGGCATGCATGCGTGTGTGTGTGTGTGTGTGTGTGTGTGTGTGTCTGTCTCTCTCTCTCTGCTTGTGTATATGTGTGTGTGAGAGAGAGTGTGAATGCACACTTCTCTCACTGCAGCAATGGGTGGATGGGATATGATGTCAGGTGGTGATGAGGGAGAGAGGGAGAGAGAGAGAAGAAAGGGTGTGGAAATGAGGGAGGGAAGGGGAGGGGCAGGAGAGAGGAGTTGGTTAAAGGCACACAGAAGCAAGAGCTGACCAAAGAAGGAGGAGGCGAACAAATGAACGGCACAGCACGGGGAAGCGAGAAGAGCCAGGGGGAGGGCCGCTCTGCAAGGATCTAAATTAGCCAGATTTTAAAACTCAGGACCTCCAGAGGTCAGAACAATTGTAGGACTCTAGCCTCCTCCCCGCAACCCCCCACAGACAGTGACTTAGGTCCCCCATCTTCTTGCCCCAAGGAGGAAATGGATGGACACCAGACATAGATTTAATGTTCTGGGCAGCTGCCTCAGCCAGGCATTGCTTATTGCCAGAACTGGGAATGGAAGCAAGGCGATGAACAGACCGGAAGGCAAGAAGCCATGTCTCTCCCACCCCCAACTCTGCAACCAAAGTGGGAATGGCATGGATCTGAGCAAAAGGCAAGGGTTTCTTGCAGGGCACTAATGCCTCTGCTTATCAATTCTGACCAAGAGCCACCAGATCAACCATTAGAAGTATTATGTCCAGGTCTGGCATGGAAAGACATAACTCTAATGATTTCATGCTGGAGCAATGAAGACAAGATCATAGGAAGAAGCTAAGAATCTCTGTCCAAACTATGAATGTGAGGAAGTCACAGAAGTGAGGATTGCAGCCTAATAAGTACGCACATATTATATTTACCTAAGCACTGTGCTGTCAGCATTTAGTTATATTCTTCCTATATATCTATGCCGTGAATACCAGCTGGTCTGACCAGCTATTGATTTGGAATTTGTTTCTCAGAAGTATACAGTGATAACTTTTTTTTAACCAAGAAGAAACTGCCGCAGCATGGAAAGAGTATTATATGCTGTCCTTTCTTTGAAAACAACTGGTGTTACTCAATAAAACAAGAGTCGAAAGAATTTCGCACCCAGTGGGGCCAATGTCTGATCTAGATGGTTACATCTGGTGTGCAGTAGATGCATTTCAGTATCCTGCATATAAATACTTACTGCCCTATTACACATGTACCACAAGGACCCTTCTAGCGGCTAGCCCATCAAAGAACCACATGGCTAACAGGAAGTAGCTTTTGCATTTAAACAATGCTGACAGCAAAAGGAACCACCTGCCATCAACTGCCTTTCTGCATCCTGACGTCAGTTCCATGATTGCAACATGGCAACCTGAACATCAGAGACCACAGAGGTAGGACATGACGCCCTTCAACAGGATATGCTACTCTCTCATTGTGCAGATTCAGATTGTGGTGCACCTCCTTCCATCGTCCCAATGCCTATCTTATTCGGATTTTACACAACAAATCTGTAACTTGATTGCCTGCTCCCATTGAGCAAAAGTGGGCAAAGGGCACTCCTTACACCAGGAACATCACAAGAGAACAAAATCCAGATACACTACCCTAAAATTTTATTCAGATTCTTCTTGCATCCCAACCTGTTTCCCCTATTGCTATGGCTGGCCTGGCCACATGTCTTTTTCTCACTTGCTTAATATGAAGCAATTTCTACTTATTTAATATACTTATTTTTTATCAACATAAATATGCCAACAGGAATAAAATGCTGGTTCTCTCAAACACAGGCATGAATCTGTGTAGGGAGGCAGGAAATTAAACTTATTTTATCTTATAGGTTTTTATAAGAGCCATAGAGGTGCAGTGGTTAAAATGCAGAATTGAAGGCTAACTTTGCCCACTGCCTGGAGTTTCATACTGACCGGCTCAAGGTTGACTCAGCCTTCTGAGGTCGATAAAATGAGGACCCAGATTGTTGGGGGCAATATGCTGACTCTGTAAACCGCTCAGAGAATGCTGTAAAACACTGTGCAGTGGTATATAAGTCTAAGTATTATTGCTATTGCTATTTTATCTAACTTCTTAATAACAGACACTGCAAATTTACAAAAAAGATACCAGAAATAATGTTCTGATTGAAGAGCCATGTGTTAATAATGTGGGTGATAATTGAAAAGTAAACATCTTGTTTTGCACTGCCTCTTTGATACCTTTTTGATATTGGACATCAAGTAGGGAGGAAGCGTTGGAAACAGGAACAGCATTTTGGGAAGGTTTTTTTTTAAAAAAAAAAAAACTGCATGAAAGCTGTGTAGAAGCTTTCCAAAGATTCATGAGCCTTATTCCTAACAAATTCCCATATTCCCCAAAAGCATGAACAAGAAGTCTGGAGTTTCAATCTCAATATACTGGGAAAGATCCAAGCTGGAAAAGGGGGAAGCAGATATTTTAAAAAATAATGCCCCAGCAAAGAAACCATTTAATGACAGATGTAGAGGATACAGAGAAAATCTCAAAGAAGCTATGTAGCTATTATAAAAATATCAGCTTAGCTCAGAAAGACAAGAGCAGGTGAGGAAGAAACACAAGAATGGCCTGTCTTAATTCTGTTTAGTATAAGAGGAAGGAAAAGACAAACTCTGTCAGACTTTTAAGAATATATTATTATAGCTTGATAATGTTCTACTATTTCTTGTGATGTCCGTTTCCTGACCTACTCTACCCTGAAGGGCTGGCAGCAGAGTGGGATATTTAATGCCAAGTTATGTTAATTTATCATTTATAAAGAAAAGCTAACATCCTACTGCATTTGTTAGGTCTGTCTGAGACTTGCTGGCAGGCATCCCTGTTGCCTGGATGGAGTGCCAATACAGTAAGAGTTCACTTAAATCTGTTTAAACTAGGCTAGTAACAAGTTAAAGGCAGCAAACACCTTCTGGGGTAACTTATTTAACTTCAAGATTAAACTAAATCCAAAATAAACATGGTCTTCTAGTTCTTTTTTCCCCCAGAAGAAAAACAAATTGCTTCAGAGTAAGTGACAACATACTTCACAACAGGGTTAGTAACGTCTTTTATACATTAGGACTATGAATCTTCTCCAGGTAAAGGGTGCTGTCCTTGGACCTTGAACAATTTACTAATGACCAAAAAGAGAATGCTGACAGGACAAAATATAACTTTATTTAATTCACTTTCATTAAAAAATGAATTAATGTGCAATATCATTAAAATTTTACATTTCTGTGGCCACTGTTCATCCACTTTAAACCATCTTACAAGTCCTCAGAGAGACATCTGGAAAGATTTTCTTGAAAAATAGTGGTAATTTCCAGTAGATGAACCAACAGTGCCTATTAACTTTACTTAAGAGTATGAATTTTTATCCACGAACTCCATTTTCAGTTGATAAAGAACAAATCACTATACTTCTGTAACTCCTGAATTCAAGACAATCAGATCCTATAAATGTTTTTGGAAACAACAGTGAGGGGACGAAAGTGCTATTACACTTTCAGACAAATATCTTTTGTATTTCCCCATCTTCCTGATGGTCAGGCTGTGAGCATGTCACAGCTTACATAGCTAAAATAAACCATCCAAGCACAACATCAACAAGTTTATGGAAATTTTGAGAGTGTAAGCAAATGTTTGGAGTGGAAACCGACCCTCCAAGATGTGACTACATAAAGTGACTGATTACTGGAGAACAGAGCATAAAATAAAGTTAAAGGGGCTGAAACATTTCAAAGGACGATATTGGTAAGCAGGCATTCCATGTTGCAATATTTTGGCTTTGTAACACAAATATGATGCATGCTATATATAATATATGCTATAATATATAGAATACAACTATGATAGAGAAGACAAATATTGGCTGTATACATTTCAAAGTTGACAGATGTTAGGGTGGAGCTAATAACAGGTAAAATATTGACCTTGTCCTGGACGCCATGGTGCATCTGCTGAGCACTCTTCCTTACCTTGTTAGATGCCATCTCACTGACAGAGCGATAGGTCTGAATGGCCTCTAATTGGTCAAGACACCAATCTAGTTCCTCCAAGGTCTCTCTGGCTAGTTGTTGGTATGTCTCTTCTGCAGATGAAGTGGGAAAAGAAATCAAAGTTTAGGTTCAAGTGATCTTTCAGGCATTTCCGAAAGTAGTGAATGCCCCCCTCTATAATCTTCCACTCAGTCTCCCAGTTAAAAGCATATGAAGATCAATATTCATTGAGATGATTCAAGCTAACTAGATAATCATGCCCAGAAGATCAATTTTAGAATAGAAGGAAGGAAGACAATAGTCTCAAAGCCATCCAGCATGCCTGTGACCAACCAATTATCTAAGGTAACTCACCAGGGCCCGATAGGTTTTCTATTTTTGCAACTTTCTTTAGGTTGCAAAAGCACACAGGGAAAGGTGAGTAACAATTGAAATACATGTCAGTATACAAACACTGCAATCAGTCACAGGTGGTGCATGTCTAGTTTAAGAACAATACATCTGGAACTGGAATTGAACTTCTGCACTCAGGACTTTAGGATTGGCTCAAAACAATTTGCTTCCTGAGACAGAGCAGCAAATGGCACATCATGCTGTCTTTAATCAAGATGCAAGTTATTTTGGCACTTCCGATTCCACAAGCACGTCTTCCCAGCCATAAACTAGAGCAGTGATGGCGAACCTTTTAAAGACCGAGTGCCCAAACTGCAACCCAAAACCCACTATCTTGGGGATAGCCTTGTTACATTCTGCTACCTGCTTATAGCAGGTGAAATGTGCTTACAGGAGAAATATGCTGAAATCCACATATATGACCTGTTTCATTGGCAGCAACTAGAAGAGGATCCTGGCAAATAGGAGAAACAGAACTGAATTCTATTGTACCAAGGACAAAACAATAATTAAGAGGTGTGATATAGTTTGACAACTTTCCCTTATTTGCCTCTAAAACTATCCCTCCCAATACACATGGCTCATCTTCTGTAGGTAGAGTAGATTATGGGACAGTTTATTCTCTATAAGAGGAAGGCGAGGAGGAGGAGGAGGAGGAGATGAAGAAGAAGAAGAAGAAGAAGAAGAAGAAGAAGAAGAAGAAGAAGAAGAAGAAGAAGAAGAAGAAGAAGAAGAAGAAGAAGAAGAAGAAGAAGAAGAAGAAGAAGAAGAAGAAGAAGAAGAAGAAGAAGAAGAAGAAGAAGAAGAAGAAGAGATGATGATGATGATGATGATGATGATGATGATACCCAGAGGGAACTGAAATCTTTTCCTGCTTCTGTCCCATTATATCTCTAGACCGCTGAAAATCCACACAGAAGCTTCCGTACAGTTTTAATTGTCAACTGCAAGTATTCTCTATGGCCTATTTAATAATCCTGATGAAAGCTTCCATTTACATACAAATTAAAAACAAAATGAATCTCGGAAGCACATTAGTTGCCACAATCAATAAATTGGCATATTCTAGCACAGCACAGTATTGTCAACCTATCAGTTTCTGATCCATTCAAAGTAGCCCTTTTCAACTATCATACATGCATCAAACATGGTCAGAGCTCAGATCACAACTTATTTGCATCTATTAACAATTCATATGATTGCATATAGATATAAGCAGACACACACATATCTTGCCACAATTCCAGCAATTGAAGAATTAACTGAAGGTTTCTTAACACGGCATATATTATATACTGTATACTTGCTGCATTTACATCTGTATTTCTTGTGAAGGACCAAGCTAGTTGTCCCTCTAAACCTGCATTTTCTGCATCCTAGACAGCAGTAATTTGTGGTCAGTGTTATCTCCTGGCATTAATATCAGGCAGGTGGTGATGCAGGTTTTCTGAAGTTGACTCTTTTTCATTTCACCATTCACATTATCACTCATCAGACTGGGGCTGAGCAAGCTGTAGCTTTATTGATGTTTAATTTTACCTCTCATCATCCCAATCAGCATGGACTATGATCAGCAAGGATGGGAATTGTAGTCCTACCACATCTAGAGTGCAAAGTGTTCTCTCCACTTTTGAAGTATGTCTTTCCCACAGCAGATCTTCAAAGGTGGCACTGATTATAGGATTCTACAGTTGTAGGAGCTCTCATATGGCTTTGGTCAATTTTGGGATGTGGGGCACTCCTCAAATGTCATAACTGGATAATGCTACTTTACTGGGAAGGTTCCCTTTCATTTAAACCCTTTGATTTAAACAACACATAAGTCTTAAGGACAGATTCCTGTGGAGGCAAGAACTTGAAGAGCTATCAAAGTGTTTCAATCTTCCTCAAAGAAAGATAAATTGGGTTGAGTTTTCCTGTTTTGACACATCTCCAGAGGAAAAGGGAATGTCACATTTAAAAATGCATGCTATCCAAAGTATAAAACCAGAGGGATGAATACTGATGCACAGTTTATTCTATAAGGAAGCTGTACATAAGAGTGTGTGCTTGGCCTTGCCAAGAGGTTCCCATGCTTGAGAGAGAATTCTGAAGAGTTCCCTAATTAATATGGATATAGCCTGTCCATAGACCCTCCTACACAAGCAGCAATGAACTGAACACAAGATTGGTGTTCCTGTGAAGAACCTATGTCCTTTACCAGCACTTTTGCAGAACCCTTGCTTAGAGCCCTCAGGTTCTTATTTCCTCCAAACCTGATGTCAGAGTGAGCTGTCTTAACTTGCCTCGAAGTAAGATCCACATTGGTACGCAATGCATTCAATCGTGTTTGCTTTTCCCCAGAGGAAGATGATGTAGACCCATCCAAAGCAATAATCTTTCAGAGAGTGGAAGTTTCTGGGACATTTTCAATACATTTCAATAGGTACATTTTGTACTTGTTAAGGTTTTTCATGCTGAAATCCAATGCCAGTCTGCAAGATTGATTGTGTGTGCTCTCTTGTCTGAATCAGAATTTTCTTGGTCATAGAAAACAAAATAGCATTACCTGAGAGTGTGGCTTTGCAAACAGCTGGCTGATTGCCCAAGGGAGATCTCCTAAGAGAGCAAAAAATAGGAAAAAGGTCAGCATCTGCCTTGCTACACAAAACATAAAAGGAGTTAAAGCATCTTCTTCTGCTCACTCTGTTCAACAAGATACCCCTTTAACATGCTTGCAGGTAACGACTGCTTTCTTGATTATTTATTATTTATTTTTATTTGTTAAATTTATTTGCCACCCATCTCACCACAGGGCTACTCTGGACAGTATATTATATATTATATACCACAGCACCAAGTTTGTATTCTAGAAATTATTGCTATAAGGTGGAAATATAGGAGTCTTTAAACATGGAACTGGGGCAACCTCTTTTCTATGAACCCTTGAGAAATTAAGGTTCTTCCCTTGGTTCTCTTACCTCTAAGGAACAGCAATTGCATTCAACTTTTAAATATAGGAAGTTTCAAGCTACGCATTTGACACAGAATTTAGGCTCTATGTAGGGTCAAGAAGAAATGGAGCCCATCAGATATTGTTGAATTCTGACTCATAAAACCCTAATAATGGTCATACTGGCTGAGGCTGATGGGTGTTACAGGCCAACAATATCTAGAGACCTGGAGTTTCTCCTTGGACCGGCCCCTTCTAGTATCATAGTATTGTGAACGTTCAAATGAAGCTGTGTTCCATTCTTGTCGTGTGTTCTAAAGTTCTGAATTCTGTCTCTGGCATTGATTAGTCAGTGACAGGAGTTTGACAAATGAGAGTGAATTGAAAAGAAAGGAACGAATGAGTGCAATCATACTCAATATTACAGGATTTTTTTCTATTTCATAAATATGTTGACATCTGTTGTCTAGCTAGCAAAGGTTACAATTATGCTGATTTCAGAAAAAAAGGTATAATAAACTATTATTTTTCATGAATAACTAAACAGCCAGAAACGTCTGGTCCACTAGCAGATGTTGCTGGAGTGCAACTCCAGCCATCCTTGAACACCATCCATTCTGTCTGGGGATAACAAAGACTCCAAAGCTTTCTGGAGTCCATATGTTGCCATGTGTTTAAAAGAATACATGTGAAATACATTTTTGAATACTTGTCTATTAAAGCATTAAATTAAAAATATCCAGCAATGGCAAGAAGTCACTTTAGTACTATATTGGATACGGAGGGAAGCAACTTCTACCCCTTTCCGATAAGGTCACATATGAATATTAAAACAAAAGCCTTGTCGGCATTATCCAGGGATCTAGATGGTCCAACCATCTTTTTCCAGTCCTAGGTTGGAGGTGCTTAGAGAAAACCTGACAAGCAACAGCCAACTCTCACTGGCTTTTTGCCCTTCAGGAACTGATATTCAGAGGAACACAATCCTTGTACCCGAGGAGTTTATTTAGCTACTGCAATGAAAGATGCATACAATCTCCCATTCCAGTAGCTCTTTATTAGCTATGTGGACCAAGAAAACTGAGTATTATTTGCTCAAATCAAATGCAGCAGATTCTGGGGAATGTGGAAGAATCTGAAATTTTGCACATGAGTATCTAGGTCCTCTAAAAGCTGCTTATCCAATAGATTTGAAGGCCTGATATCTATAGCATGACTTCATAAAAGATCAAGAAGTCACCAATAGTTTAGCTCCCCAGCTTTGATGGACACTTACTTATTGGATGTTGGTGTAGGAACATTTGCCAGGATGGAAAAATTATTACGTACGCTCCTCAAGCTTGCCAGGACCTGTAGAAAGTACATGGAACAAGAGTGTTAGATAATAATTAAAAAGTATCAAAGTGAAGGAGTCTTCCTCCACTTAAAGAATTAGGGGCTTTAAAGGGAAGATGGAGACTTGGGCCAAGACCCAAGTGGGTCTAATGTAACACAAAAAGAATTAACTTCCTTTTCCATTCTTCCAACAGAGAAAAGCTCTAGATTTCTCTAAATGATCTGAGGCTCAGTACATTTTTCATCAATAGAGGCAATGAAAAAAGAAAACTTGGCCATGCTGATTGGTGCCTGATAGAAATACGAAGGATGCCATCAGTGTAATGGTCTGCAACTCTTTTCATCTACAGATATACCGCTGCTGAGAAGTTTGTTTTAAGGAATGTGGTTAGCTTCTAATAAAAGTGGCTTATTCAGTCACAGTCCAATATGAAATGAAAGATCTACTGTAATCTAGTAAGCTTTATGAACAATTCTGAAATTAAGAAAAATAATCAAGACCAATCAAAACCCACCATAATGTACAAGAGTTTGCATACTACAAATTAAGGCTGATTCAAAGTTTGAACAAGGTCTCATTCCTTCTAGGAAGGAAGGAAGATTCTTTTGAAGAGAAGGAGGGAGGGAAGGCCGATACATGGAAAAAGAACATATTCTTGGCCATTGACTTCTCTCTACTTGGTTGCTAAACTTCTGAAGAAAAACTCTAGACAACTTAGAAGTATTTTGTGGGATTTTTAGTAGAATCCTCCCAGTTGTGACCAGGAGATTTGTCTCAGGGGCTTGAGCCATACCTGGGCAAATGGTGTCACTATTAGGTCTTCAGCATGCCTGTAAAGGAGAAAAATGACAGATCTGTATTACTTTGGAGGGAGGGAACAGAACCTAAAGCTAAATGAGGACAGAGGAAGCCCAAGTCCTCACTTAACCAGACAATTATTTTACCACATGATTGTTTTGAAGACAAAATGGGAAGAGGAGAGTGAAAAGTATAAGCACACTGCCATCAACTTCTATAGGAAAAAAATAGGATAGAGATGGGAAGAAATAAAGAAATAATAACTAAACCCACAACCTCCCATAAACTGAGCTACACATCTTTCCTGGTAGGAGACTTGAATAATGCTCAGAGGAAATACTATACAGTAGGTCATTTTTCTTAACCAGACAAGTCCACTTTTGAGCCTTGAAACCATAAGAAAAGTCAATCAAAATGGTCCTTAAAGCAATCCCAGCCTACATACTGAATACCACTACTAACTTTTTTTCCCTGAAGTGCATCATTTAAACCTTAGTTGCTGTGTTCCTTTAAACTCTCTACATTTTGCACAATACGGAGGAAAAGATTGTTTGATAGTAAAGTCTGGAGGAATCACATCAAGGATTTTGAAATAATCTGTTCCACAGGGAAGCACCTTGTAAAAACTTGCTTCAGAGCTAACTAGATTTATCCACCCACCAAGTGTCCTTTATTATTCTCTCTCTCCAAAGCCTTTGGCAGGAGCAAGACTTTGCTGGTGAAGATGTTCCTGTGGGGGTCAAAGCCTATGCTAAAATGGGGGGAGGGGATCTGGTACTGAGAGCAGTAAAGTAGTTGGGACCACATAACTTGCAAGGTTGGGCCAAGGAGGCTCTGAGGCTTACAAAAGAGAGACTCGTGAGTTGCAGTTTGCTTATCTCTATAATATCAGAACAGTTTTTCTGCCACCCAAGGCAACTTTGGGTCTTCCTTTCCTGAACCTCCATTCCAGACAGTCCATAAGAGTGCAAAGGTAATTTTGCATTATTAGCTCCTTGCATATGGGCAAGTCAATCAATCCATCCTTCAGAATAGAGCTGTAAGGGACCTTAGAGGTCTTCTAGTCCAGCTTCCTGCTCAAGCAGGAGACCCTATACATTTCAGATAGGTGGCTGTCCAGTCTCTTCTTAAAAGCCTCCAGTGATGAAGCACTCACAACCTCTGAAGGCAAGCTGTTCCACTGGTGAATTGTCCTCCCTGTTAGGAACTTTCTGCTTAATGCCAGGTTGCTTCTCTTTTTGATTAGTTTCCATCCATTGTTTTTTGTCCTGCCTTCTGGTGCTTTGGAGAATAATTTGACCCCCTCCTCTTGGTGGCAGCCCCTCAAATACTGGAATACTGCTATCACGTCCCCCCAGTCTTTCTTTTCTCTAGATTAGCCAAACCCAAATCCTGCAGCCATTCTTCATATGTTTTAGTCCCCAGGCTTTTAGATGTTTTATTTCCCCCCCTTATTTTATCCCCTTTTCTTTTCTATTCATTTACTGTTTCTGGTTCCCCCCCCCCTAGATAAAGACCCATTACACTTGGCAGGGATAGAAAAGTTCCGGTCCTCCTCCTTTAACTCTGAGAGTATCTTCCTAACTCTTTCATTTAATATCTAACAGAGAAGGGGATGGAGTCACCCCTATTTTTCCAATATTTTGCCCTACTCCCTGCTATTCCAAAAGCAATTTCTCAGAAGGTAAGGAATGGCTCCACCCTACCCAAACCAGAATTTGCATTCTAGACATAGGTCACTTCCTACCCACTGCATCTAGATGACTGTTTCTGAACCACAGCAACATTAAGATGTATAAATGTATACACTGTACAATGTGTAATTCTTGGAACTTCCTCAGCTAGCATGCTGGATGGAGAAATTTTGGGAACTGAAGTCCACACATCTTAAAGTTGCTGAGACTGAGAAACAATGATCTGGAGAATGTATGGTAACTTTATTATGGAAGCATCTCAATACTTTTGCCATACTTTCATGGACTTAAATGTTGCAAGGGATATAGCAGCAATGTAAAGTTACATGAGATTAATAAAATATCTGGGCCTCTCTCTTTTTTGGCGTTTGGATAGTGTGTGTGGACATTATGTAAAACAATATTGTTAAATTGAGTGGTGATATAACACAGCTATTTTTCATGGTATCTTTGTAAAACGCATACAATGAGCAGTGAGCAAAATAAATAGGAAGGATGGATGGAAGGAAGGAAGGAAGGAAGGAAGGAAGGAAGGAAGGAAGGAAGGAAGGAAGGAAGGAAGGAAGGAAGGAAGGAAGGAAGGAAGGTCAGCCACCATTTTTTTTATTTTGCTTCTAAATTCCCGCATCACTATCTAAGGGTCCTAGATGATCCCTGACAGAAAGGGCTAAGAAAACTCATGCAAAAAGTGAGCTTTGCTCCCCTTTTCAATTGTGCTGCAGGCAACAGCTTTTTTACTTTATGTTGCAGAATTTGGTGAACTTTGCGACTGCAAAATTAGGCTGCAGTGTTGAGAACAGACCTTTTTGCAAAGAGCGTTATCTCTGCTCAGAAGAGAAAACGTAGTTCCTCTGCGACTACCAATAACTGCTTGTCCCAACACTGAATCATCTTCAACTCAGCCCTGGGCCACCTGACTATTCACTAGGGCCCTCCATAATTCAGTTGTTCAGGCACAGTGAGACTCAAATAAGCAGCTCTATGTCTTAAGAGGCCACATGTCTGCACCCACTCAGGACTGCTAGCTAACACAGGGAAGGGCTAGAGTCACAAGAGGCCTATAACCTCCCAATCTATGGCTGATTCCTGGTCTTCCTTTGGTTCAGGGAGCTTGTCACTGAGAAAGGGGATGTGATAAGATGACTGGCTTTCAACCACCTGTCACCCATGGCACCCGTGTGCTTTCCAGCCCTGGGCATTTAAGAGAACTGAGGCCTTTATCTGATTGTTCTACGTTCTCCATGAAATCCCACTGAATAAAGAAGAGGGACTTACGCTTCACTGGCAATGGAGGAGTTGCGTGACATGGTCTTTGGCGACATGTCGTAGTCACTGTCTGAGCGATACAGGAAGGACTCACGCCTTTGGCTCTGCGGAAAGCTGGGGTGAAGCACCAATCCAGGGCTGGCCTGGGAATCCAGGGGGCTGCGACCTGGAGATGGGCCATTTTCCACTTCGAAGCTGCCAGAGGAAAAAAGAAACATGTCAAGGAATTCAAGAATGTTGCTCACCTAATATTAAAATACTGTATTAAAAATACAGAACCTCTAGAATATTAATGTGGGAAGAATAACCAACTCAAAGAGCGTTCAGCAGCTCTGTTCAGCATCCATTCTTACTTACACACCTGTTTTGCATACTGGGCTAACTCATGGATTACTTAAATATGGTTTATTGATTAAACCATAATTAGCAGGATTCAAAGATTATATTAAGATATAAGCATGTTTAATAAACTATAAATGACAACATGCTAAGCACAGAAATCACAGTATGTGTTAAATAGTTACACAGGAAATCTTGTACAATACTTGGGTCAAGTCCTTTTTTTTTAAGCAGCTCATAAACATAAACAGTTTAATACAGATTATCTTCTAGAATCCTCTGTAAGATAAACCTACACCAGTTGGATTAAAAAAGGTATATTGTTCCCCACTCTTTGCACATCTAATGATTTAACAAAGGTTAAATCATAACCTCAATTTAGTTTTAAAAATCTAGACACTCACTTTCCTCTTTTTTTTTTTAAAGAAAAACTACAATTCCCACATTGGAGCAGTACTTTGGAAATAATGTGAACTGGAGTTTCAGAATTAAATGTTGAAAGAATCTGATTCTCACTGCTACTCTACTGCACTCTGTTCATTGCCCACAGTATATCTTTCCACCAATCCACAAAACTAGCTAAAGTTCAAGCAAAGAGTTCCACCGAAGTTGTAAATGGAGCATGTGTAAATAAAACTAGTCAATTTGTACGAGATATATTGGTTTATTTATTTTACATAGATACTAGGCTTCACAACAGAGTATGTAAGATTTCCTTTATGCAAAACTGGAACTGTTTAGTAACCGGCATAAATGACGCCTTAGCTTAATCGCTCTTTTCCTTCCTCATTTTTTTTTTACCTTTAACTCCCCCTGCTGGTCAATAAACTGTTCCTGTATGTATAACATATACACATTGCTATATAATGGTTAATTGTTCCAATTGCATTCGTGGACTGTAAGAAACCAACAGCACAATATGTATAGGAAGTAAGCCCCATTCTATCTTTTGGGTGCTTCCTCCTAAATAAGTCTCAACAAAACAATGGCATAAGATGTTTGCATTAACAAACTATGCAAAGATATTAACAGAATTCCCACCCTTCAGTGAGTTAAAAGTTCTTCAGAAATATGGTGAAAGACAAGCACTCACGGTGCTCTTCTGCAAGATTCAGTGCTATTCTCCAACCTTGAATATCCTCAACCACACACCACTAATGCCCTTCATTACAATGTACAATTCCTCAAATACTAGCAAATGCTAGTTTCTCATCAACTCAAGAGTCACAAACTTCAGATTTCCATGGCCCCCAATTCTTGCAGCCTACTTCTCACCACTGACTCTGGCAACTAAAAAGTTTTCTCTAGCATGACTTTCTGACTGGAAACGTGCAGTCATGAGCAGCACCCATGCCCCAGACACAACACTCAGCGCTAGCTATGGCAGACAGAACACATTGCCTAACTAACCTTCGGATGGATAAATGAAGGCTGGGCAGAGACATGACCCGGTTGTAATCAATGCCGCTTGGCACATGAACATGAGCCATCCTCCTGGTTGCCGTAGAGTAAGAAGTCTGGGTCACAAGGTGTCTAATCCAGATATTTGCAGGAGTCAAGCTGCTATTCTCCCTTGTCACACCCTATGTCGTGCTGGGAGATGTTGGTGCAATCGAGTTGAGAAATATAGCTACAGCAACAGGCTGACTCATCACGTGACAACTGAGGCTTAGTTGTGGCTGGGTGAAAGTGACAGGATCTCCCCCAGTCAATCTAACAAGAGGATGCCACACCAGGAGTTCCAAAGAATGCGCTCGCAGCTTCCTCTTTACTGTGATTTCAGCAATTTGGGCCTTTCACTTACAGTTACCAGTTTCTCTCTCCCACACATAAACAAACATACATTCCACCCTTGAGATATTCCTGTCTAAGACAGATGGGGCAAGAATAAAAACATGTGCTTGTTTGGCCATAGCTGCCTGTTTCAATATATCCAAACCTAATTGTATAGAAATGAAACCAACAAGAAAAATAAAAATTAAAAGCCTAGTGACAACAATAACAAAAGGTTGCTTCATTCAATCCACTGGCAAACATTCAAAGATCCTTTCCCTGTTATAAACACCTGCTCTGTAAAGCACTTTTGTCTGGTGTAACTCCATAAGATAACAGCTCAACTCCAAATGCAGGGAAAAATTCTGGATAACAACAACACATCATCCTCTTGAGAGTTTGTCCGCTATACAATCTGTATGCTGCTGCTCCTGCTGTTTGGAATTACGGTAATAGCACCACCGCTGGGAAGGAAGGAAGATGCTATCAAGTCAAGGTATATATACAAAAGGAACATGTTTAGCTATAAGAAAAAAGCCACTTAATATATAAAATTAATGAAACATTGGAAATTCTTATCCTTGTCAGAAGGTCACAAAAAGTGATCACATGATTCCAGTATACTGCAGCTGTAATACAGTCAGTTGTCAAGCATCCAAATATAAATCACGGGACCATGGGGATCTGCAAAGTGTGAAAAATGGTCATAAGTCACTTTTTTCAGAGCCATTGTAACTTCGGTCACTAAGTGAACTTTTGTAAGTCAAGGACTACCTGAACACCCCCTATTTCGTTCCTTTGCCAATAAAAAACTGTGAAGTTGTAGGGAGGAGCAAGGGGGCTGGCCAAAAGAATTATTATGAACACTGGCAAGAGAAATCTGTGTCTGATCTGCATCAATGGACTATTGATAAGAGTTGTTTGCTAAACTTTGCATTAGAACAAGGAAGAAGATTTGATCAATTTGTGTGGGGCTGTTCTATTTATAATATAATTTGCTTCAGTTTATTCTCCCTGGCCTGATATCTGTTTTTAAATTGTTTTTCTGATTACATTACAGTGTTAATATTTTTCCATTTTTAAAAAATGTTTGCCTTTTTCAACTTGTCATATATGTTGGACAACGATTCACATAACCCCTGACACCATGGCTTTGGTGGGTGTGAACTGATGAGAAAGTGCATATGGACAGCATTAAGTTGGAGATGTCCACCAAATTCTGCCTTTTGTTCCAGTGCAATTAATTTACTAACCTTCCTTTAGAAAGATACCTTATTACTCTCAAACTTCCAAAAAATCCCTTCTTAATCAATTAAACCACAGAAGGGCTAATTTTATTTTTTAAATTTAATTTAAAGAGTGTCAATATTTCAAAGGGGTTACTTCCTTCTAGGAAGCACTACTCCCCCATTATAAAGAAATATTTGAACAGGACATCCAGCCCCTCATATTTTCCAGCTGTTTATTCACCTTTCTGTTCTGTTCCACTCCAATATAATTTTTTCTTTTTTACCCTGGAAAATTTTTCAACAAGCTGAATTCTCTGATCCTACTTATGGAACTAAGCTTCCTCAGTGATGACAAAATGTCAGGTCAGGAATATATTGCCAATCCAAGAATGGTAGCCATTATTACAAAGAATGCTAGGATCTATCTTTTGACACATGTGGACTCAAGCATCTTATTTATTTATTTAAAATATTTATATAGTCACCCATCTTATACCAAGCTCGGGGTGGTTCCCAAGGAACAATGGTTGTCTTCTGGGATTTCTGGCTATCCCAAGAAAATTTTCCATTTTCTCCTCCCACCCTCTAGAGCAGGAGTGTCAAACTGCTGGCCCACAGGACAGTTGCATCATATGGAGGTCGCGCCCACCCCAGCTCCGGTAATGTAAAAAAAAGTCATGATACATCGCGACATGTCACGTGACGGGCGAGTTTGACACCCTGCTCTAGAGCTCTCTGTACCTGATTAAACTGGAGGGTTATTACATCAGAAGGAAACCACTGTGGGATACAATCCACTGAAAGGATAACATAAAAAGCTAAAAATAACCCTACTGAGTAGCCAAGGGATCCACCATTTTGTTTCTCACAGTGGTCACCTCAAAGCTTGTGGGATGCTTATAAGCAAGAGATGGAATTATCTGCCATCTTTCTTCTTATACAATTAATATTCAGAGACATGTTGACTCCAACCTGGAGGTAATGCTTAGTCCTCAAGATCAATAGCCCTTGTGGTTTTGCGCAGTAGCGCAAGTAGCCAAGGGATCGTGGGGCTCCACACCTTATGGCCAATTCTTCTCTGTTTGGGCCAAAGGTCGCCCTGAAGAGGTTGCAAAGAAGTAGGGAAGCCCTGCCGACCGTGGAGAGATGGTGGTCGATCCGGTCATTCGGGGAAAGCCCTCCAGAAACCAACAGAAGAAAGGCTAGCGTCACTCCAGAGTCTAGCCCAAGCTACAAGCAGCCAAAACCAAAAACCTTGATCATAAATAACATGCTTGGAACTGGGTAAGAATACCGATTCTCTCTCTTCTACTTGATTGATTTCCTAGAGAGAAAAAAACCAAGAAGCAAAAATCCTCCAAAAGTGAGAGGAGGGGGATTTTTGCTCCACCCTCCCACAGACAGAAGCAGCAAATTAAATTTTTATGGGGGACAGAAATATACTGAAATGAAATGAATATAAGTCTTAAATCTGGATAAGTGTGAAATTGGTGGAATTAGTTAAGATTTTCTTAGCAAAAGACTATTGATGAAAACAGAAAGCAATTGCCTGTTTTGAAAATTGAAAAATGAACTGGTGCTGACATCTAGTGGTGGATGAAAATATATAATTATGGCTGCTCTAAACACAGGAACTGGCAAGCCCAGGAAAAGATAACTTGTTATTGCGACCATCAACGTTTCAACTAAACAAAGAACAGCTATAATAAAGAAAAGAAAACATTTTGGGC